ACCTGAATCAGGGTCCTCATGTTGAAAGCCCCCCGATTGCTTGAGGGACTATTACAGGTCGGAAGAAGTGGAAAATGGAGAGGGCTGGGTACTGAAGACAAAGAATTAAACAAAGATTGGCATATGTGAGCATTAGTCCACTTATCACTACCCATCCCACTCGAAGCAATGGACAGGGTGGTCCAGATTAGCCTGTGCGACAACCGATGCAGTATGAAATTGTTTTTATTTTGTGTATTCATTGGAGTTTTACGGACGGTTACTGCTAGGGTGGCCACCCACTAAGCAGGAGAACGATTAGGGTTCTCGAACAAAGCCCTTAGTTCTAACAAGAACCTAGCCGCAAGGCATCGGGTTAAGCGAAGTGGGGGCCCATTTACTTGGACCCATTATTCCTCCACCATTTTGTATCGACTGAAACGCAAATTTCAGTCGAACTCCGAACCTAGAGGACCAGGAGACTGAACTTTGTCTGACCTCTACCCTTTGACCTTCCAGGCATGATCGCCTGGTTTGATAAAAGTCATCCTGTGTAGCTCGTTGGATTACAGAGGTGCACAAGCCATCACACCACGTCAAGGTGTAATCTCATCGTACTCTACAAATAAACGGGAATGAATGGTTTCGGTCAAGCCACAGGAATTTTTCACCGAATCTAAAGGGGGCAGAATCAGCGAATTTTCGTCAAATTTCGTATTTAACGGAACGAATACATCTAGCTTTGAGAATGCTGACAACGGTGAAGTACGTCAGTAACGGAAAGAAATAAGCAGACTGTACCGGACTGTCGTCCAGTGGTTGAGTGACTCGCAGATACGAACCCCAAGTCCGATTCCAGATAACGAGAAGTCGGTAATCTACGTGTACCATAAGCAGACAAATATGTACAAAAACAAACACCATACCTCAAATTGTGGACCAATCCGGTCTTAACGGTACAAGAACGAAATACAATGCAGGTCAAGGCGCAGAACAAAGCACCTGCGGAGCGGTCACCAAAAGAAATGCAAACTCGGCTTAGAAAAGGGACGATTTGAAGGATAGAAAAACCAATCGCAAGTGCTCGATAAAGAAGCGCAGTCATTGGTCAATGCAAGACACAAACGGTTCACNGGGATCCTATGGAACAAAGCAGTCTGCTAAGCAAGTGAAGCGAATGATCAAATATGAAGGTCAACATAAAGCGGATGGGATGATAATGTACTAGAACAAAAACGTGGGTGGGGGAACGGATCGAGGGTAGTTCGTATGTAATGACGCAGGGGAATGGTAAGCGTGGGACAGAGAGAGTTCAAGGGCGATAAGGGTAGAGGACGCACAAATGAGCGGGACCAGGAACGCTTAGAGGCGGTAGGGACAGTAACAACCAAGCACAAAGTATAGCGTCGGACCAAATCGGGACATGATGATGGGCAAATGTCAAAGGTCATCTGTGTAATGGTTCACATGGGTGCACAGTTAATCGAACCGAACCGGAGCAAAATCTGTGGCGTGATTAATTTTTTCAATGAAGTCGATACACAGACAATACTGATAAGTTACCATTACTCCAACCATTTGTACGGAGCAACAGCAACTAAGCCAATCGTCGTGATTCACAAATATCGTTTCTGGCCGTCTGGAAAACTGCACCGCATTATTGATTTCGATTTCAGGTTTTATAACCCTAAACATATATTTTCATGCGCCAGTCTTGGTTGTTGTCTTTTGGCTGTTCATTTGTGCAAATTCCAAACCATATCCGGTCCGAACAGGAAAATTAGCGCCAAATAATTGAATACAGAAATATACAGTCAACTTTCAGGAAAGGGATGGGGGTACGGCTATACAAAGGCTGCCTGGGAAAATGCAGAAACGAGGAAGACGGGCGACGGTGGAGCTGTTCAAACCCGGGACCCCGGGTCACATTTTGATGACATAAAAACTTGGACCACTTGAAGATTGGTCACCGGTAGCAAAACAAAGGGAGCTTAATCACCGTCAACATACAGTTTAAGTGACTGCACAAATTATTTTTGAGCGCTCTGAGAGGGTTTGGAGGCGGATGCCAACTGCTTCCATTGTTAAAATTTTCAATTTAACGCACGTATACGAATCCAATTTCACTTCTTACAGCTTTCGGAACACTCCGGCCACATATACGGTCTGATAGGTGGCTTTTAGAGACCAAACGATGACACGTATTACCGTCTTAATGGTCTTGAATTTCACCTACGAAAGGATGGTACGGACGGACATGTTCAGAGAGAAAATGTTCTCGTGATATGTGACCGACCTGAAGCAACCGAATAAGCGAAAATCGGCTCTAAAATAGTCAGAGCGGAAGAAGTCCATCCTCCTAACCCTCAAAAACTCCAATTGTGAAGTCGTATCCTTTGTGTGATATAAGCGTGATCAGGAATTATCTGAGTAGTACTGTCGTCCTCCTACGCCCTCCCCGAAACAAACGTTATGACTCCCTGACCTTAACTATTTATCCCGGTATGAACAGAAAATACGCTTGTTTCCCAGTGAAGGACAAACACCTTTTATATAATGAACCTCGTTGGGTAAAGAGGAAACGAAGCGTGAACAGAAAAGCTAAAAGTTACCCACGGTAGCCGAAACGTCGACTTATTTTCACCTGTACCGACACCGATGTGTTTCGAAATTACAACTCACATAAAACAATATCCATGGTCTTTCAACTTCGCATCTACGCCGAAGGTGTTTCAGTCCTGCGCACGCTGCTCGAGCCTTGGAAATGGGGCAGTTATCTCCTACGCTGCGTTGTCATCATTGGTCACACAATTACCTAGGTAGGGAAAGCAATCCGCTAAAACTAATTCCTGGCCATTTCGTTTCAAAGCGGGACTAGGCGACATCAATTTTGTACAGAGCCACACCATCGGTAGCCTATAGCCATGTGGTCAATTTGGGTCAACTTACCCGTTGAACTAGAACACCATGCTGCCATCCGACGAGATCTGTGTTGAAAGTTGGTGCTAGATAAGAACAGTCGGTGATCTGTGTAGAACTCAAGTAGTCGAGCACCGTTGTCTGCTTTCTGCGCGTGAGGAGCGAAGCGCCAGCTGCAGCAATATCGAGTCCTATAATTCCCGGTGAGACGAAGTACAGGATGCAAGACACATACTACTTAATGGTCAAACATCTGTTTGATTCAACAGTTAGGGGAGAAATTTGTTCAACTAACAGAAACGGATGGATCCGTGTTGAACCCACAAGCGCAAATGAGCTCTTAGAAAGTAATCGCGCCGATTCATCAATATAGGGCTGTTTTGCAGCCCACTAGGAACTACGCAGGACCTGGAGATGCACCCTTTAAAAAGACCGTGCTACTTTGAGAACTTTCAGTACATCAACATCGCACGAATCTTCATGACTTTTATAAAACGTGAAGCAATTTAGGAAATACTGACGAGTGACAACAGTGAGGAAACACCAGATAAGTACGGGTAGAGAGACCCTCGACCCAGGTGACAAAAAANCTTACGGTTTGCTTGATTAAAGAACTCCTTGTTGTACAAAAATATTTGGGAACATAAAAAGTCTCAGGTCTTGTAAACAACAAAAATCATTGTATAACCGAATCAAATACTCCATTACTATCGTGTAATGTACAAAATATCAGTGAAAGACTAGTATGACCTCCCAAGGTATAGTCTGAAAGCGTTTTTCTTTAACACTGCTGTATCTTTCATGGTCCGCTTCTTCAAGGCACCTGGTTGACCCTCCGTCATTTCTTTCTTGACGGCTACGACTAAACCAACCTTAAACACAGAAAAATTTGCACTCTCGTATGAATTAAGCACCAGTAGGTGAACGAAGGCGCCGAACAGGATTGAACGTGAATAACGACCATCATGGACGATCCATGTTTTGTCCAGCCAACCATATCCAGTAAGTCTGAATCCGTGAACAGGGTGGCGGTGGCGCAGTGGTTTAGTCGCTGTCACCGGCGTACTTTGGACCCTGGGGTCCGAGGATCGAGCCCCACCACGCCACCCAACTTGGGTGGTAGGCAGCTTTGCTGTCGTCCCGTTCAATACCACGCCTGACCTAGCGGGGCCTTAGGTGGTTCGCCACTCCGAGTCTCGGGTATTAGGTTGGCGGTTACTATCACTGAACAGCAGGTCTTTGGGACTATGAGGTTCGCCTTGTCTGCTGTTCATCGCAGTGGTGTGTAATAATAAAAATAACGGCATAAGGTTAAGTGGATAAGTGATGCTACTGCATCCCCTGGTAAGGATCTAACTGTTTCAAAAGAATCAGAATCACTGTTGAAAGCAACGCAATTCAGCTAGAAATTTATAGGATACGAAAAAGACAGTTAGTTAAAGACAATCTAATTTGATAAATGTGGTTATATTGTGGGCAGCCCGCAAGAGTACTCACGTTTTCTGCGGTTATCAGATGAGCCAACGCATCACGATTCTCAAAAATGCCCCGAGCCCAGTCACGAATAATAGATGCTCTCTCCTCAGTTGATCGTTTAGCCCAAAGAGATTGTGCCGTTTTCGCTGACTGGATAGCTAAATGCACTTCCGCAGAGGACATAGCTGGTACACGACACAATTCCGTGTGATCGACAGGATTGAAAACTATAGGGAATATAAAGAGGCCGAAATGCTTAGTAAGACACAGTTACGAGTGTATAACCAAAAGTCTACATCTGAGCATGTTTCACGCACCCAATCAAAAATAAACAGGGAAAAGAAACCAATGTTCTGGTTTATCAGTAATTTGAATTGTAAAATAGAGCGGCGGGGTACTATTAAATCTCTTTGCATAGAATGGAATTCGTCATGTACTGACAATGATGGCAAGTGGACAGTATGCTAACGTTCGACGTGACAATGCGCCCGTTCATCAGAGAGCTTTGGATGCGCAGTTAAATGCCAACCACCATGTCCGATTTCTCCCACCATATAGTCCCTTTTTCAATCCATTGGAAGAGGTCTTCAGTAAATTCAAACAGGTGGGAGATTTTATTCTTTTAATTCCCTTATCATTTAGTACATTAAAAACTGGTTCACTGAA